ACAACGTACATCTAAAGGGGAACCAAACAGGTCTGTTTTCTTTCTACCCTTGCACAGGTAAAACAAGTCCTGCCTGGCAAGTTCCCCTTCCAGCTCCCTTGCTGAGAAGGCTTCAAGCACCAGCAGTCCATGGCTACTAACACACTAGAACAGAGACCCCAGAAACGCTCTCTATATAAAATATACACAATTTTACTACCATGGGGCACCTGCTGGACAAGTCTTTTGCTTCACACCGACTATACAGGGAATTTAAGTCAGACACCTTAATAAACAAGTATTGCTAACACCTATGCCTCAACCCATTACAAATACGAGGCCTATGTCATTGCCAAGGCATATCTGGCACAGAAACTTGCGATTTAGATGCAAAACTAGGGTTTTTTTCCCTTTCAATGCTGGGAATTGTATTTGTCTTTTCTTAATTGCCATGGCAAACTGCATTAGCATTTTCACAGAGGTAACTAGCACAATGGAGAACAATGTGATGATGTGAATTTGCAGTATATCAGCTCGCCCATGGAAGCACGTATATGTTTTGGGGGTATTAGCTCACAGAGTATTTACTTTCCAGCCACTACGTCACAAGCCTGATCGGAGGCACCACCTCTGCTCTCGGGGAGTAAATTCAAATCCCTACTTGTCTTGTTGAACCTGGAGCAGGTAACGCTTATCCTGACGGAGCTCCTCATCCAGAGGGCAACATCTCCTGAGATTTTTATTTGTGTGCACGCTGAGCACAGGGCTAACAAATAAGTTACCTGCTGTCTGATAATAGGGACACCAGCGATAACCTCAAGTCACCCCAAACTGACAACAGTTTGCCTTAAGGACTGATTAGTTGAAAAACATCACTGAAAAGACAATAAGTAACGTTATTAATTTCATTTTGATGTCATTGCTAGAGAAATCAACCTTTCTGTTTTGTAACAATTAAATCACTTGGCAGATCAGAAACAGAAACATTAACCAAGTCAATCTGGCACATCCTGGGGACAGATGGAGAGACTGCCAGCATAAGTCTTCTGCCCCTTCAGACAGAAGCCAAGACATCCTCTCACACATTACTACGCTCGCCTCTCAATCTAAAGTGATGATAAAGATGAATTTTGGATCTTATGACCTTTTCTATTAACGGACCCCATAGGTATAGAAAAGAACTTGTTAGACCCCTATCACAATTATTTGTAGCATAAGTGTTTTGTTGTACATAACACTACTTAAGTCTTCCGTACAGTATTCATCCACCAGAATCAGCCTCATCTGCTCCAAGCCTTCTGTGAAGGCCACTTTCTGTCTAGTTTGCAAGCCTACAAATCACAGGATTGTTATTTATCCTAGAATAAATCCAGAACTAAAATCTTGTAGTACTAATTACAGTCCCTCAATATGTCTGATCCTCTTGCATCAAGGTTGCCTTGATCAGATTGTCTTGGAGACCAACAGTCAAAACCTCCTACAGGAAGGAGAAAACATTCTTCTCTCTACCAGCAAAGCATATCTCAAGAAAAAAAAAGGCCAGAGTGAAAGATTCCTAGTTCTATCTCCGGATTATTTCTACTTTACACACAGACAAAAGATTAAATATTACTTGGAGCCTGGAAGAAACTCACAGGACTGCATCCTTTAGCAGCACCCAGGACCTACAGCAGTCCCTAGCACATTCCCATGTGCAGGGGCAGGACAAGCACCGCTTACCACAGCTGCTCCTCTCCTTTCTGATCTCCTCAGTGACACATCTCCTCAGTGACAACACTCTAATGTCTCAGCTCGAGGCATCAGAGACGTGATCAGACTGCTGAGCAGCCCTGCCCTGTCACGAGTCCTTATACCTGGAGCTGGGGGCACCAAGGGGAGGAAGAATGGACGTCTGGTTTCCACACACCTTTGTACCTGACTGCAGTGACTGGCTTCACACATCTCACACACCTTCCTCCTTGGGGGATCTTCAAGCCGGTCCTGAGAACATCCAGCAGTTATTGAGCAAAACAGGCCGGAACCGGACACCCAGTTGTGTTGACACCTCTGTGCTCTGCTGTATTACAATGTGCTCCCTCTTCTTACAACTTAGAGAATCCAGCATTTTAATTTGTATTATGGACAGCAGGCTCTGCACTTCAGGTGTTTCTGGATGATGAAGGGGGGGAAATAAACAAAAAAACAAGGCTCCAAAAAGAGCGATACTTGCTGCTCCCTTACAAGCCCCTCAGAACCCACGCGCTCCTTCAGACCGGGCTGTATCTCTCAACACTTGGCTGGCTGGGGATGAACTGCACCCAATCCAGAGCATGATCCTGCAGGAGCCAAACATTCCAGGCATCTCCGGCAAACAGGAGAAGGGAGATGACTGGGCAGAAGCACCAGCCCCAAGGTGCTTTACCTTGCACGCTGCAGGCTGGATCAGGTGCTCTCCGGCTATCAAGGGCCTGTGAAGGCACCAACACACCTTTGCTTTCTCTCAGCTGATCTGCTTTGAGGACATATAAAATCCAAGTTGGGATTTTTTTTATTTCTTAGTTATACAGAACAGTCCTTTCACTGGGTTTGTCATGCTATACGAGAGGGATTTCTCCAGCACTCCAAATATCGCTTCTGCGGCTTTGCTTATTTATCTGTACAAGGGAAATGATCACATCTAGAGAAAATAAAAAGAGTATAGATACTACACACTGCATCTTCTCTATTCAAAGTGATGAAAAGGGATGACTCTAGCTGACCATATTTCCATCGAACAGAAATCAAAGAACTCTCCCTTTAAAGTATTCGTTTAAAAATGTTTCCTCGAAAACTGCATAAAGGCATCAAGAAGATCCAACTGTGCAGGAGCCCAGCGCTTAATTACAGAAAATGCCCCAATCTGCACCACTGTGATCACCTTGGCCACACAGTGACAACCTCCTGGAGACAAGGTAGTCAGCAATATAAGTTGAAATATTTAGACGTTCAAAAGCAAGAAAGGAAATTCATCTAAAAATATTTTAATGGAGCAAGTTTGGCTATAGAATCAACGCAACATAAAGAGGACACCCATCGTATAACCAACTTTACTGCTTAATCTTAACAGAGTAAGCTACAGATGCAACAAGTTTACCACAGGTTATTGGGGTAAATTAGTGTAGTTAGAACCATGCTGCTTGTAGTCGTGGCTTTACAGTACCAATGTTCAGATTGGCTGAGTTAGTTTTACTGTAAGTAAAACACGAGTTTACAGAGAAAATAGTTTAGTATATTATGTTGTATTGTTTCATGCTCAGTCACAATGATAAAGTCTTAGACAGATAAACAATATTTCAGCATTACGTTAATAATGCCAAAACACATAGAATTTTTAATGCCAAATTTACAACATAATACAGTGCTTTACAAACAGATGCCTGTTCCATGGCCAAGTGACGATGCTACATAGGACTGAAGCACTCAAGCACTACTCATAGTGGGCAAGTGAACCACACTAACGGGAATGCTTTACCTTTGGAGGAATTATTGTTCTAGAAATGCATGTCCAAACATAACGCAGGATAAAGGGAATGTTAAAACCCTTGCCTCAAACACGGGGCAAAAGTGCTACACATTATTTACAAACTCAGACCAGCAAAATCATTTTAGGAATAGAGCTTGTGATCACTCGATAAAGCTGACAGATTGTACACTGTATTACGTGAACTAGAATTGTTATGAAGTTGTAAACAAACTTTAACCAAATTAGGTTACAGCATTATTCTTAAGGATATTGTCATCTCAGCACACGGATTAATTTATAAAGCTAAGGACACTGTCAGAGGTTTTATTTCTGTTTAAAGCAAAAAATAATTTAAAAAATGGAAGATAGCATGAGTATTTGTTCCCTATCAGCACTAACTCATCTGTTGTGTTGGGCTGGATTTACAAAGCCCCTCAGTTTTAGCCCAGTTCAGCATCTACTGGAGCAAGCTGGTTACAAAGTTGGAGCAAACACTAAGCATGTTTGAAAACTAAAGGAGGTTTTGCTTTCCAGTATCAAGTATAAGATTAGATTGCTGACATTGCTCTACAAAGGAGAGAAAAAAAAAAAAAAAGAAGGCTTCATTTTTATACTTAATTAAAAAAAAAAGCTTTCCCAAAATTAAACAGGCTTTGCAAACATGCAAAAAATATATAGGTAAGTCAGACAGACTGGAACCTGTCAATGGCAACACTGTCCTTTTCATTCTTGCCTCCCCTGCTTTCCCTCGCTCGTCTTCCCCCCGTATTTACTTACTTTTTTATCTCCTGCCCTCCAAACTGAAGGCATTGCCCAACTGGTAGATGTGAAACTTGATAGAATTAAATTTGTTTAATGAAGCCAGGATACAAAGTAGAAAGAAAAAGAAATTTTGTCCCTGCCGCATCTATTTTTTCCCTGTATTTTGCAAGCATAAACGTGTTTTTTTTGTTTGTTTTTTAATACAGGCATAGCAGTTGTGTGAGACAAAACTGAACAAACTTCTGTTTCACTTCAGAAAGATCTTAAATAACCAACTAATTTCTCTTTATAATTAAAGCTGATAAAAATAAATCCATAGCCACCAGTTAATAAAAAAAATCTGTAGTCGAGCCGTTCTTTCAAGTACGCTTCTCCGCTCACGGATGAGCTGCAGTAGGCAGAGTGCTGATTAAAAGCTGTGTTGAAATCACTACGATCCAGAGCACAGGTCCGGATCTACCGGACTCAGGTCTCCTCGGCTGGACCCCAGCGGAGCTCGTAGGGCCTGGAAGCAGGGCGCGTGCCGGGGACGTATGGATGCAGTATGAGACACCCGTAACTCCCTGTCTCCGCTGCATCCTCCTGCCCGCTCAGCGTGGGGACACACTGAGCACTCCTGCTGTCACCCGGCCACATCCCCGGAACGAGGGGGACGCCAGGAGCTACGGAGCAGCCTCCAGGGCCGGCTCTGCTCCGCGCTCCGCGGGCTGGGAAACGTCACCCGGTCCATCCCGGAAAACCTGGCCGTGACGGTTGCTGCTGTGCAACGTGGTTCCACGCATTTCATTCGCTCGGGAATTCACATCTACTGCAAATACAGAAGCCAGTGAAAGGGTCAACGAGGGGGATTCTGCAGGGGCTGGCCCCAGCACTGAACACCAACACACGTGAAAAATAAAAAGGGACAAACTACCAAGTCACTGTTAGCAACAGTGGCAAATTCGACTTTTCATCTTTCCTTCCTAAACGTCTCCTATCGATGCAAGAGAAAGTGCAACTTTGCAGCATGTTTGTTCACATCAGAATTTTCCCTCAGGAACCTATTTTGCAGTAACAAAATATGGTCTATAAAGTAGCAAAGTGCACAAGCTGAAGGCACAGAGTACAAACATATAGGAAAACAGATTTTTAAAACAGAGAGAGTTACAAAAAAGAAACAGATAAAAGAAAAATTGAAATTTAAAACTCCCTGACAGAAGATACTTTATATGGGACCAACTCTTAAAAGGTGACATCATTTTCATACTAATGAACAAATACTGCAAAATAATGAAACTTTATTCTTATTAAGTAAAAGCTCCAGAAAACACCTTAAAGTTTAAAAACTAATACACTGATGTGTTAACTAGTTTTAAGAATGTCCTTAATATTAAGAAAAGAGTGCAAAAAAGATTCTTCCATTCTAACACTTTTGGAAGCTGCTGATTTCGGCTACCCATTTCCACTTTGAAAGGATTGTTTTTCAAGGTGCATTCCTCACAAAATCGCAGAGCAAGAACTGATTGAGAGACTAGACCAAGGAATCACGTCTTTCAAAGTCATTCCAATTGTAGCAGCAACTGACATTTTATTATGTAAAGAAGAAAGTCCAAAACTCTTCTTCGAGGCATAGTTCGTGTCAGAGCTCGAGTATCAGCAGTTGCCAAAGGAGGCTCCGGATACCACCTGTGCTCCTCCAGTGTCTGTTCTGGATAGGAATAGAAGCTGATCCAGTATATTCACTATCTGTATCCCCTGGAGCTTGCACAAGCTGAAGAGCCATCTGAAAGTATATAAAAAAGTTGAAGAAATTCTCTCATATTAAACTTCCGCCCCATGTCCTTTGAGCCTCACCCCTGCAACAACCCTAAAAGCATTTCCTGCAAAACATTAACAGTGTAAAGTGAAGCCGATGTATCAATTAAGCAGTCATTTATTTGAGATTGTAGCAAAGACCTCATAATGCTGTATGACATTTTAGGGAAGGACGTAAAGTGACTGCACCCTGCTTAAAGCACAACAGGAAAACAGGCAGAAAGAATGCAATAAAACAAACCGAGATTAACAGCATCAGCAGAACAGAATCAATCTGGTTCTAGAGTATATCTGGCACTAGGTTTTCTGCTGTGAAAAACATTTACTCAGCACAGAAGATATGACCAGGCCATGAGGAACCAGTGACTGACTGCACCGCAGTTAGAGGGAACTGAAATAGTGCAGCCAACTGGGAATGGAAATACCACTCCTCCGTGTGCGCCTTCCCATTCCTCATCCACCTCCAATTTACACTGGAGCAATTGGGGAATAAAGTCGAGAGCCTCACAGTTAAACCAGCAGCAAGAAACTTCATATACAATTGGAAGTGATTTTCCCTGCTGCAAGACTCTCAAATTTGTAAACCTGTGAACTTGTAGGCCCAGAACACACTGAAAGAGAGGCTTAAAATTCACATTCAATGTGCATTCACATTATTCCCTCCCAAATTTGCTCATAAATATTGATTACTGTACCCCTGCAGCACCATTGCCAGCCAGTGACCATTTGACACTCCTCAATTTGATAGAGGGGCTCTGCTTACTGCTTTGAGAATACTTCAGCAGACTGTTCTGCACCTGGTTTCAGCTGAGCCTATGTTTATTTGGCACACTTACGCAGTTGTCAGGCAGGACTGGCACAATCCTCATTAAAGCCAAGAAATAAAGCCAAGATTACCACTTCTAAGCTGTCTGCAAAGTCTATTCTATCATTAAAGGAAATTGGGTTTACAATAAAATCAAGCAGGACAGTGCAAGAGGAAAGAAGACCTTCTAGAGAAACACATGCACAGAAACTGCACTTTCCTGTTTACTGCTATGAGCTATAACCAGAGCTGATAAAACACAGAGCACAGGCTTCATACTTACTGTAAGTTAACTCATCTCCAGCTCTCTTGCGTGACTGGTCACCCCTAGGAAACAGCAGGAAGAAAGATACTGGTTGTATCTCGGTTTCAAAATCTAACTTGCTTCTCAGGTCAAATGCTCTTCTCAGCCCAAGTTCTGATGACTTAGCTTTTAATGTCTTACTTCACATACAAACCTATCCAAAACCAAGGTTTTCTCTACGAAAAGACAGTGAACAAAAGCAGCTTGCTTTCTCCTACTTTACCAAAGGTGGGTTTAGAGTAATATTTTCATTTGGGTCAGTACCACGGTTTTGAAGCTCACTCATTTACCAAACTTTACCTAGGGAAAGCGAGGGCACGAAAGCCAGCAGCAGGTTTAACATTCACCATTCCCCTTGCAGGTGAGTGCTCAGACTGCAGGACCTGACTCTCACTATTTTATGCTGTGCTTCTACCCAAACAGTTCAGTGAAAGGCACAGACCTATGCAAACACCATAGCTAAATAAAATTTTCTGCCCTCTGTTCATTTCTTCCCATTCAAGACCCAATAAGAAACGAAATGCCCATTTAAAATGCTAAAAATAATAAAATTAAAGCAGTACAATTGACTGTACTGTTTTAAATAGCCCTAGAGATAGGGAGAAGCAATCAAGTGACATTTTCAGAAACATCATTTAAAGAAATACCAAACTATCAGTTTATAAAAAATAAATGAACTAGGTACAAGGCTGAAAGCATGATTGTGCATTAAAAATTCAGTCAAAACACAAGGAGACACGAACTGGGACTCATAAAAAAAAAAATAACCTGTTTATCTTTTATGCCTCTTATTATAATCTGATCAGTTTTTAGGGAATATTTAGGGCAAATCTCAGATACTGAGCTTTGCATGTTTTTGACCAACTCACTATTTCTTAATATTTTTAGGGTATCCATTTTTACACTTTCATCATTGTCCAGGACAACTACTTTTGAAGGCTAATAATTATTACCTTGTAAATCCATTCTGCATAAGCTCTCTTTGGAGCTTCTGGTCTTGAGCAGCATATTCCTGAAGCTCAGACTCCACAGCAGGGGGTAGAATGTTAGGGATGAATTTTGAGAATAAAGCTGGTGCCATCTGTACCCATTCTGCAAGAAGAGAGAAAGTAACAAAAATAAAACATGTAAAATTTTTGGTAAAAATTTTATACTCTGAAAAGAATTAGTACCTTTGTTCTACTTAAAATAACTTTTAGGATACTGAATTACACATCTTGGGAAAAGAAAAAAGAAAAAAAAAGAACATCACATGTCTGTTTTGTCAAGAGCTTTCCCACCAAAAGGGAATCATTTCATCATTGGCACTAAAGCTATGCAACTGTATTTCTTTGAAGTCTTTCACTTCTGTAGGCATTTGCCACAGCAAAACAAAGTATTAAATACTATTAGTTTATAGCAGTAATTATCCATACCTTTTAAACATAAATAAGCCTAAAATACAAAGGATCTGGGCACCAGTCTCAACAACTTTCTAGACCTCAGAACCCAACTCTTAAAAGCAGAACAAATATTGACTGCTAAAATCAGATGTTTCCATCTGGATTTAGATTTTTTATTGCCCTCCTTGTGAGGCACAGCAAAAATGGATTTCACCTTGATGCCAACAAGCGCATGCAGATAACGACCTCGGTTACGACCTTGCAGAGCTACAATCCCAAGGACTGCAGCCCCCCTCAGCATCCCAACCCCGGCGATCCGCTCGCTCGTGTGAATCCCCTTGGCTCCGCTTCCACATCCCTTCCCAAGCCCTGCTGCTAGAAACCACGGCTGTATCCCCACGCAACCCTCCTTCTCCTTCGCCCACTTCAAATGAACTGGTGCAGTTCTCTCCGCTGAAGATTTATCAAAGCTCCAGGCAATGAATACTTGAATATTCAGCTAATTTTCAACTCCAGGCATTCAGCTACAGAAGAACAGATATCCCAACAGATCTAATTCCACTACACTCAGTGCAACAAGACAGTTGCTTTCTAGGCTGACAGGAAAAAATCCAGAAAAGACCAAGCAAAGGCAGATAACTGGGCTTATAGGAATAGTTTAAGAAGCTCTGAGCAGAATGCTCAGAATAGAAATTAATAAACTCAGCACCTTAGGAGGCTGAAAAGTCTGAGGAACAGGTAATTAAAAGCAAACCTGTACCTGTGTAAGCAGGAGCTAAAGCTGAACAGAAATCAGCACCCTGGGTCTTTCTACTAAGGCATGGAAAGCAGATTTCACAAGACTAGGAACCAGCTTTACACTTAAAGATCTTACAGGACAGCCTCTCAACACCTGGTCAGACTGGTGACAGGAACCCAAATGACCATCCACCTGTTACATGAACAGCAAGATGGGCAATAAGGATGTCACAGGCCCAAGCACTGCAAAGGACTTGTGCAGTACCACAACACTGCACTGAACTGCTTTCCAAAGAAACGTCCCCCTCATATTTCTGTGCACTTTCCCCTCCCTTGCTACAGAATATTTTTCAAGTGATGAAAAGGGTGTTAATTTTACTGGTGCATGCAAATGCAGTTTACCAACCAACAGTGATTTATCCTGGTGTTTTGTAACATTCCTAGCTTGTAAACAATGAATAATATAGTACAGAAAAGAGCTTTCTTTTTTGTGTGTGTGTGTGTGTGTGTGCACGTGCAAGTATAACTCATCTTCATTTCTATTTCTTTAATTTGGGATTCAAACGGGAAAACAGATTACAGATTACAATCCTCCTCTCACAGCACGGTAACTAAGAGATGGCAGAAGCATTAAGAAAATGTTTCCCTGGTGTCTTCAAGGCAGAGGTTGCTTAGCTGGTTCGAATCACTTTGATATCCACGTGGTTATTCTGCCTTGTGCAGGTCACAGATGGACAGTAAGCAGAGCCAGGGCCTTTAAACACTGTATAGCTAAGCATTATGTAGAGAATCTTGTTTTTTCTTTTATATATGCATTATACAGGCAGTGACTACATATTTAGAAAAACACCCAAGAAGCACAGTATGAGCTACTCCTAAACAGAATAATCTTGTTTACCTGGTCTTAGTGTATACAGGCCTTTCACAATATTTGCCATGGTTGAAGGAGTTATTTGAAACGGTGTTGACTGAGCTTCCAAAAGTAAAGCTGAAATAAAATTGAGACATATAATTAGCCATTGTCTTAATCAAAAATGCAAGCTCTTACAAATGCAGTTTTGTGCAAGAGAAATGCACTAGTTCTACTAGTTCTGTTATCTGATGCTCTCACAAAGGAAACAGCCAGATATCTTATTGTCAACTTAGGACTTATAAAGGATAAGGTTGCATAGAGTATCCTATTCAAATTATGCACAATGAAAATGTGAAATAAGTTATCTTCTTCCCTTTTAAGCTGGGCAGGAGCTGCAAGAAGGAAAACAAACAAGCAAGCAACAGCATTTTAAGTATTTAGCTACAGAACTAAAGTAAACAACTTATTTTTAGAAGCACTCTTGCACTCTGAACACTGACAGGCCCTCAGATCCTTGCATTATCATGTTTAACATCTTGTCCATAAAACTGAGGCCGAATTGAAAGTCTGAATGAAGTGCATTTAAATATGAAAATAAATATGAAAATTAATAAGTTGTTTGTTCTTTCTCCAAACAAGAACGAACATTCCTGTTTCCTGCTTGGTATCGGCTATAGTAAACATATCAATTTGGGCATCCATCTCTTGTGGGAAAAGCCTGTAGGTAGTAGCAGATTGTTTATATTATCATATCTGAGATTTTAGCCTGTTTGAATTTAATTTCAGGTTTGTGATGTGTATGAATTATAAAATAGGCAAACAAAACAAAATAGTAAAGCTGAACCAACTGCTGCTGCTCAGTTTTTATGTTTCTACAAAGGATTTGTGCATTATATAAGCCAATATATAAAGGAGAAAAGACTGTTACCATTCTACCTAAAAGGCTAAGGGCTAAAATCTCTTCTTCCTGCACTGTGGAGACTTTTTTTTTGTGGAGAAGCTCTGGAATTAACATCTGTCACTATGGCACCTACATAAAAAAGAAAAGAAAATGCCATTACCCTGAAACTAGATAAAGCAGCTCATGAAATAAGGAGACTAAGAAAATATTTTGTTCTAACCTCTTGGTCCAAGTTATCAAAACAGTTAAATGCAACTGTTATAGATGTATTTACTTTACGAATAGCTTCATCTTTCACAGCTGAAGCCTTCAGATGAGGACCTGTGATTTGTTTTGTAATGATGCACTTACAGTCTCTTCCCTAAACATTACTCTTCAAACAGCTTCCTCGCAGCCAAGTTACAAATTATAAAAATAAAAAGGGGAGAAGGCTTTACATGTAAGATACAGCCATATAGAGCCCATGCACTATACATGTTTTTCATTAGACTATAGCTACTTCAATACAAATCTCACCAAAAGTTTTGTAAAATAGATTTGCTCATGTTTTCTATCATGCAAAAAACTTATTTAAAAACAGAGTGAGTCTAACAGTAGTATAGACCACAAAAATCTGGATTAAGAGAAATAATAATAATCACTTGAGCATTCAATTTTTAGCAAGCATTAAGAAACAAATGGATTACTGTGGCTTCTTGAGTTTATTCCTGGAAAACAGAGACCTGTATGCTCCAATAATGTTTAGCTTCAAACCACCAGGAACAGTTTACAAGTACTTCAGAAGCTATGGATAACTCACCACTACATTTCTCAGAGGTTTCTCTGAAACTAATCTACACCTATAAAACTTAATTTCACCATGATGCCAACGGTTAACCTGAACAGATGCTTTTGCGATAGGAAGCAAGTGAAATATATTTGCTTTTATTCCAGACTGCTGACCATACCCGCTGTAGAAACCAATTTCACGGGCAAAATAGTGAGAGAATTCGCCTGGAGGTCAATCCTCCTAGGACAGAGGCATCTCCCCGAGCGCTCTGCTGCGGGACAACCTCTCAGCACCGCTTCGGTTTTGGCGAGCGGCCTCCACGGCGCCCGGCGCGGGCGCTCCTCGCTCGCTCCGTTTACACTCGCTCTTACGAGCACCATAGCAGGACACTCAACAGTAACAGCACAAAGCAACGGCAGGGATTTCCCGTGGTCTCTCAAGGGGATAAGGAAAACAGTATTTCATCCATTAAACTCTATAGCACAAACAAAAAAAGAACAAATAGGACCCCAAATTTCTCTGAATCTGAAAATCTCATCTCAGTTTTATAGAAACAATATAAACACACAACAGTTGTAAAACTGAAGGTGAGTTCGTTCATGAATGAGTTTTGCAATGAAACCCAACCAATTCCTACCCAAACTTTCAACCCAACCTCACTTTTTAGCAGAGCATCATTTGAAAGCTCAGAGAGAGAGAGTAGGGGCAGAAGCAGCCGTGTCAGATGCACACAGTTAGCTATGCTGTTGTTTTCCAATCCAACGTTTACAGGATTAGCTATGCTGTTGTTTTCCAGTCCAACATTTACAGAAGACCTGCAGTTCATATGGTTCAGGCTCTTGCTTTTTTAGAACACTTGACAGAGAAGCTACACAGACTCCAACCTGCTTCCAGACAACCCTGCCTGCAGCTTTTACACAGATAGGGCAGAGTGAGGCAGAATAAAAAAACCCTCTCAGGTGAAACCACTAATAATGATAGATATGATATTACCTGGCACCCTCCCAATGTTTAGATTGTAAAAGGCAGTTTTATTTCTCAAGTAACCAGTATATAGAAGATTTAATCAAGCTGCACGTAACCCGTTGCAGAATGACAGAAGTGCAGGCTCCAACGCCGAAATGCCTGAGCGCAGAAAGCTGCAAAGTGCTCGAGAACACTGTTAAACGGAGGCAGGACACAGCACCCAGGGCCACCTCGGGAGCCTGGAGGGCCAGGGATGAAGCACACCTCGAGTCAGCACTTCAGGTACATCCAGCACTACAGCAGATCATCCCTTAATGAAGGTTTAAGCTACTTTATAATTACAGTGGGGTACTTAAGATAAAGAACTCCAGTAATTACAAGAGGAGCAGACAGTTTGTTACAAGATCACTTGTTTGTAACCAAAGAAATAAGAGTTTGCTATTCTAAGACTGCTTTTCTATCCTTTAAAATCTTTACAAAGTAATTTGGCTTGGTAGATATGTATTTTTTTTTCCCCTGGCAAAATAAAAAAAGAAAGAAACCTCTGCACATAGGCTCATAAGATTCTTCTTCTTTTGTGGTGCTCAAGTAGAACATAATAAAATACTGCAACAAACCATATATAAGCATGGCTTAGGGCAGATGTGCTCAAAAGCATAATTATTCATCTCTTTCAAAAAGCATAACACTTATTTGCACTAGAAGCAACACCAAAAAACTTTCACAACTAAGGCAGTAATTAGCTGTTTCGCTCAAGTCTCCCTAGAATAACTGGAGACCACAACAGAGAAGTCCCACAGGCTGCTGCCTCCTTGCAGACAGCTCTACCTGCAGCTCCTACACAGGGCCATGCAAGGCAGAATAAAACACACAGGCTAAACGGAAGCAGAATCGATGGGAGTAACAAAGCTACAAAAGAAATAAAAATAATTACAGAAAACTTAATCACAGTGTACGAACTCTTAAGTACTTAACTCCAGTATTTATGTGATTCCACTGAATTTGTGCTAAAGTTATCTTTGCAGAGTACCTATTTTTACATCTCCACAGAATCTGAGCTCTTACACAACGGCAGATGGACCCAAGTGCACAAGAGCTCTATAATAAGAGCATGGTTCAAACAGAGCTGAGTTCTCTAGCAGAGGCCTGTATGTTTTACAAGAACAGAAACCACTTCCTGAATGCAAAACATTAACACGGAAGGGAATCCAAAACGCTCCCAAGGGCACACCAGCACACAGGCAGCAATCATTTAAGTAGCACAAGGACATGCTGTGACGACCATTCAGTTGGAAGTGCCATAACTAAGGAATTTGATGCATCCTAGTCCCTTCTGGCAACAGAGAGGAAATACAACAGCTCTAAGCAAAGAATTCATTTCCTTGGATTCCTTCCTAATTCTCTCACCTTTGTGACCAGTTTTAAGTTATTTCTTCTTCTCAATACCAAAATGCTGCAAGAACCAACCAGGGCAGGGTTCCAGCCCAGAGCTCACCTTCCTTTATAAGTTTCTGGGAAGAGAACTAAAGTAACTGCAAATTCTTGTAATTGGAAACTAATTGATCTATCCGCCAGCAGAAACAACAGTGCACTGCTATTTGTTTATTTCGATTTAAAAGCCAGCTTGCTTTGGTTACCAAGCTGCTGATCTTGAAAAAGAGGAAGAATATTGTTACTTATAAACCACTGTGTCTCACTGAACTTCACCTAGTGGAAACATCAAGGATTACGAGTTTCAGGAGCTGTTACCTTATGTTTATCACTGAATACACTTAAAAGTTCATAAAAACTCGTATTCTAGAAAAATAAGTACGAAGAGGCAGGATGTTTCCATCGCACTGGAATTACAGGTCAGGAAACCCAGGTCTATCCTACTAGGAAAGGCAGCGACTGCACAAGGACAGAAAATCTGTATCTTTCAAATGTTACTTTTTGCAGTGCTCTGGTGCAGGACTAAGCAGGAACACAGCACTTGCTTCCCCACTTCCCCAGGGACGAGCAGGTTTTATCTGCAACTTTTGTAACTCAGAAGATTCTTCCAAATAAGATGCTGCATCCCTGCTTGTTATATTCACTTAGGTAAGTTTGGCACACAGCAAATTCTCCCAAACCGTTTAATACAGTGGCCTTAGCAGCAAGAGCCAGCTTTAGCCTTCATAAGGAAAATAATCAGGATAAATTCACTTAGTTCATACGGATCCACTTTAATTTGATGACAAATACAGTGAGCATGCAAGTACTTCATATAAGTACAACTTATATGAAGTTCATGCATCCACTCGCTGTATAATTTTTCACGGTATTTAAGAGTTCAGAACTGCTCTAGATACTAACAGCCACTTTATTTCCTCTGTCCCAAAAGGGAAGCAGAGTTTGTGCACAGTTTGCCCAAGCACAGTTCCCTCACACAATAATCTTCAGCACATCATGAGTTCTTGGTCTTGATTCCAGGGATCCTCCACTCTCATTCTGTCCCACTAAAAACCTTGTGCCAAGAGCTCATTTTGCATCTTCCTACCTTCAGCTACCACAGGGCTGGGGACTGTTTAACCAGCACAAGTTAAAGCCAGAGGAGCACTAAGAAATTTGTGCTTCAAATTCCCTTTCGACAGTCTTAATAGCTTCGCTGAAGTGGAGTAGGAGCATTTCCTGAAATCAAGTGAAGTTGAAATATAATTATAGCACTTCCTGGACGCAATTTTCAACAGAAATACCAGCTTCCAGGCTTTGACAGAATGACAAGATTCTACAAACAAAAATCCCTGTGTATGAAAACATAAACAGATTTCAAGAGCAAAAAGAAACA